AATGTACAAACTGTACACATAATATACTATCTACTGTTCATAAGTACTCACATACTTATATATATATATATATATATATATATATATATATATATATATATATTTCTTTTATATAGCTGTTTATACCCCTTCATATTATAACCTGTTCATTCTCTGTACACTCACAACCTGTATATATTTATACCTATAGCATATTCAAAGCAACTTATTGTATATTGTACTATAAATATCTACCAATTTATTTTTCTTGCTAAGCACTTCTGGATAGATGTCATAGTTCGCCCCTGGATCCCCCTGAATTTCTGTTTATTTTATCCTGTTTGGTCCTGCACTGCCTATCACCCATTTTCTGCTCCGGTCACTCTCTCTCAGCAATCTGCACTCATCTGCTGCACCCTGTCTCTGCAATCACCACTCACCTGCAACACCTGTTCAGCTCACTACTTAAGCACCACTCTCACCCTCCTCAGTGCCAGATTATTGAAAGCCTCACAGCCAGTAAATTATCCAGCATTCTCTTGTTCCTAGTTTCTTCGTTTTTGACCACAGCTTCACTCTTAACTCCTTGCTTTGACTTTGCCCCTGTCTGGATACCACGCTCTCGGCCTACACGGTACAACCTCGCTCTCCTCTTCGACCACGACTACGGATCATCCTTTTGCCTGTTCACACAGCTCCTGGCTCTCGACCCCTGCTACGTCCCTGGATTCTGTTTCCTGCCCAGCCCTCCAACGTTCTCTGTCTCAGCCCTGCTCCTGCCACAGAAGGTTAGTGACGTGCACACCACCTCTCTCAGCTCCCAGAACCTTTTTGCAGTCACTAACCTGTCTGTCTTCATAGATTGGACGAGAACCGAGGCTCGGATCCTCCCCAGACGAAGGCCTTTAATAAATAAAACTTTTTTTTAATATTGTCCTGAGTCTGGTGTTGTGCTGATCCATACAGACTCGTAACAATAGATGCAAACTGCATTTCGTTGCTTTGTACCTGTGACATGTGCAATGACAATAAAGTTGAATTCTATTCTATTCTATT